GCAGAATACTCATTCCACCAACAAGCATTACTGTTAGGCAGAATACTCATTCCACCAACAAGCATTACTGTTAGGCAGAATACTCATTCCACCAATAAGCATTACTGTTAGGCAGAATACTCATCCCATCCTGTGCCTATGATAAGATGTTCTACCTCACACCTCCCTCAGAATCAGGTCCAAGGCATTTCTATGAATACAATTTTAACAGCCATGCCCACACAGAGCATACTAGTCCATGCCAGACTACGGATATCAGAAGTTAGGAACACAAGGTTCTGCTGTCTCAGAGGTCTGAGGTTTCATCCTAGCACTGCTACTAACTGTGGATACTTGAGCAATGTATGAACCTCTCCTTAAACTTCAGTTTTCTCATCTGTAAAATGTGAATAACAACTGCTATGATGTAAAGATAACATGAAACAATTTATGAAACAATTAATGCATTGGACAATAGGACTCCTGGTGTGGCACGCACTGTAGGATCAGCACTGGATTACGAACCACAATGTCAGCAGTTCAAACCCACAAACCACTCCTAGGAAACCCTACACCGGGTGGCTAGGAGGCAGATCTAACTGGATAGCACTTAACAACAACAACAACAGAGTCCAATAAATGTTTTGTTGTTGTTGTTAGGTGCTATCAAGTCAGTACCAACAACTCATAGTAACCCTATGCATAGCAGAACAAAACACTGTCCGGTCACGTGCCAACCTCACAATTATTGCTACATCTGAGCCCATTGATGCTGCCACTGTGCCAATCCATCTCATTGGGGGATTTCCTCTTTTTCTCTGACCCTCCATTTTACCAAACATTTTATCTTTCTCCAGTGACTAGTCCATCCTAATAATATGTCCAAAGTATGGAAAACTAAGTCTGGTTACTCTGGCTTCCAAGGAGCACTTTGGCTGTACTTCTTTCAACACAGATCTATTTGTTCTTTTGGCAGTCCATGGTACTTCCACTATTCTTGTTCCAACACCATAACTTAAATCAACAAATGTTAGTCATTATTATTCAAATTGAGCAAACTGCTTTAATTATCTAGGCTGAAGGAGTTGCAGTACTTGAGCATTTCTCAATCAAATCCATAATAAGAAATGCATTTTACATCATGACTCAGGGAACATAAATCTCTAATCTGTGTGTGCATGCATATGAAATAAGAATTTCAAAAATCAATATTTGCCCTTATTACATACAGCATTACATTCTAATTCTTTCCATTCTATTTCATTGATTCAAAGCTGGTGATGACTTGCTAACTTTGTTTGCATACTGATGCACCATGATTACATTTGAAACCATTGATAGAGTGGAAGAAAAGCACAGACTTTGAATATTTCATCCCAATATACACTAGCTCTGTGAGCTTGGGCAACTTGCTTCACCTCTCTAAGCCTCAGATTTTCATTTATAAAATAGGGAAAATGGCATCTACATTTCAGGATTCTTGAGGGATTAGAGGTAATGTATTTACATAGCAAATAGAGACTAAACAAATGGCAGTTGTCAGATTGCACTAATCAACAGGAGAGCCATAAAACTTAGATATGCAATCTCTACGTAAACCAAGGTGGGGTGGATGCTGGCTCCTCAGATAGCTCAAGCTGTGTAGGCATGAGTTATTTAAATACAGCATACATAGGCCTTTTTTTTTAAACCTTAGAAGTTCACATTCTCTCTAAAAACCCCAAATCAGGGAAAAGTAGAAGGAATAGCAGGTAAATTTTATCACACACTTGCTGGAAAACAGTCATTACTTTTGTGATCATGGAGTATCAGGGTGGTCAGCAAGAGTATAAACCACTGTCTCCCCTTTCCACACACACACATACATGATTATTTCCTCCTCCACAGCATGGTTACCTGCATCTGCCCAACCAAGGCCCCAGGTCCCAGATAGGCTGATGCCTCCCCAGGCTATACATGAACTCACAGAGCTCCAGAGCTAGAGCACTCTTACATATGAATTATGGAGGGACTGAGTTCTAGAGAGGTGAAAAGTCTTGTCCAAGCCCAGAGTCACTGCAGGAACAATTTAATCTTCTTTCCATGTGAGCCAATTTGCCCTGATTGACAGGTGATGATGATGATGACAGAGTTAAGGTTGCCTGACATTGATTGGTCTGTACCCCAATAATAGTTCTAGACTCTAGCAATATGCCTTCAGAAAGTACTAGACTGCCCTGAAGCATTCCAGGAGAACTACATCCAATCGTCGTTAAGTGCCGTTGAATTGGTTCCGATCCATAGCAACCCTGTACAGGGTTTCCTGTGGCTGATGAGCTTGAACCACTGACCTTGCTGTTCAGACTAACTTTGCATTATCCCACAGCATCACACCAGGACTCCCTAGTCAAATATAAATGTCATTAATTCTGAAAGTAATTATCAAAGGAAGAGAAATGTCTTAGCATGCTACCTGGCATGCATTATCCCTAAATGCATCAGCTCTTTAAAGCATTAGCAGAACATTTGAAATGCATTTGCAACTCCTTCCCACAACAGAGGGGTCAGCATTCATTTGGATGAGGTATTTCTTGTACATGTGTGGAACAATTCATAACTCTTTCAAAATCACATGTCAGTTACCCTAGCAGGAAATCTCCAAAGGTCAAGTTGTTAAGAACCTGAAGGGGGAATTAACCTGCATGTCCTTGCTCCTAATTTGGGATAGGGGAACGTGGTGGCTCCATACAATAAGCACTGGACTGCGAACCATAAGATTGGTGATTCAGTCTGTGGGACAAATATGAGACTTTCTACTCCCACAAAGATTTACAGCCTTGGAAACCCTTTACAGGATCACCATGAGTTGGTAATGACTCAGGCATTTAACAACAAAGTGAGCTAAACCTGTTGAGTCTATTCCAATTCATAGTGATCCTATAGGAGAGTAGAACTGCCCCATAGGGTTTCCAAGGCTGTAATCTTCATGGTAGTAGTCTAACACATCTTTCTCCCACCATCAGTTGGTAAGTTCAAACAGCCAATCTTTCAGTTAGCAGCCTCATGCTTTAATCACTGTGCCACTGTGACTCCTTTAATTTGTATAACGAATTTGTGTTCCTTCTGTAAACACTTCACTAAAACACTATTGTCCTATTTAAATAACATCGCAGAAGCAAGCGTAATGCTTATTTGAACTCAGAGTGGGCTCCATCTCTGTGTTCCTCTTCTTGACAGACATAAAGAATATGACCTTTGAGGAGCTCTGCTATACAAATCCTAAGGTGGCCATACAGAAGATCAGTGATGACTACAAAGCATATTGTGAAAAAGTACCTGGAATAGGCAAGTACTTAAGTGATAGACTTGAGACAACTAGCTAAGAGAGAATCTCCAAACTCAAGGAGCATAAGTCCAAAATGGAATTATGTTTTTGTTTATTTGAAATGAGGAAATGATCATGGAGGGCTTTTTCCTCCTAAAACCAGTAAAGGATCATGAAAATGTGATTCAAATCCACATTGATGATGATGATAATAATAAGTGCTAATCTCTACCTTCTCTTCTGGAATTTCCCTGGGTGCTGCAAATTGTTAGCAAATCCAGCTGCTAACTGAATAGTACCACATCTCATTTATTATTGATATGGATGTAAAATTGACTTGTGAAATTTGTTGGAATGACTGTCCTTTTCACTGAGAGGTGACTCAAAAAAAAAAAAAAAAAGCCTCACCATTTGCTTCCCAAAAAAATGCTATGGAGCACAGTTCTCCTCTAACACACGTGGAGTCACCAGCAGTCAGTCAATTAGATGACAACCTTTATTAACTAATCATCACGGTGGGTTTTAAATCATGTGAATTTGTCTCTTGCCATGTTTCCTGAAGCCAGAGGTTTGTGACAGGAGATTTGTTAGGGAATCTTCTTGGGAATAGAACTTGTAAGGAACTGAAGAAAGCAAGATTGGCAGAGGAAGACACAAGGCTGTTAGAAGCAACCACTGCAGATCCCATAGGAAGCTTGGGAGCTAGAATGGCCCTTTACTCTTTTCATCATTGAGGCAAGGACTGTAGGCATCAACTAAGATGGGGGAGTCTGAGCTGCACATTGCAGCATTCACTCTAAGATTCTTAGCAGAGAAGAAGTTAATGTAATTAATGTGGTACACTCAAGGGAAACTTGTATATCTGCTCTTTAAGTGTGCTTCTCAGGTGTGTTGTTCTAATATGCATTTTGCAGATTACGAACAATGCAAAATATCTTTTTATTTGTTGAATATTCAATTTGATATTTAATGTGTGTGTGTGTGTGTGTGTTCTGTGCATGAGTGTGTGTGCATCATACACTAATTCTCTGACCAATTTTTATATTTTGTTTTGTCTATTGAATGTTGATTTGTTTTTGTATTTGTATTTCTTTATGTATTTTATGTATACATAATCTATTGAACTCCTGGTGTGGTGCTGTAGGATCAGCACTGGACTGCAAACCACTGCAAAAAATTGGCAGTTCAAACCCACCAGCTGCTCTTCGAAACCCTGACCTAGGGTTGCTGTAAGTCAGAACTGACTTAACAGCACATAGCAAGTCACCTGTCAGTTAAATGTGCTGCAAGAATTATCTTCTTTCTCTGCCATGGTGACTTTGATGAATTTTTGTTGTTGTTGTCGTTGTTGTCAGGTGCCATCAAGTCAAAACTGACTCATAGC